ACGGCACATACTATGTCTTTTTATTTTTGGCATTATAAGTCCAACCAGCAGCTACCAAATCCAAAATCTCATTGTATAAACGTAAAGTAAAATTATTGCTTAATTAATCTTTATTATTTTCGAAATTAACATATCTAAACTAGAATTACTGTGTAAATAATAATGATTCGATGTAGTAATAAAAAATTACAAAGACAAACCAAAATCTAACTATACCTACGCACCTCAGAAACCAACTTTTCAGATTTTTGCGATATTCTTCCCGAACACCGCCTGAAAATATACCTTTGTCGCCTCTAACCGCCACCGGTAAGCGTGATATAAATGAACATTACACGTCGACATCCATCAAGTTGTTGAGGCTGTAGGGGGGGGGAGGCAAATTATAGACATTTTTCATACAGACAGTTTACGAAAAAAAAAAATTATATTAAAGTAAAACATGTCTCCCCATGACCACGGCCGCTGCAAAGCAAAGCATCCGAAACGTCGGGCCGTTGATAAAATAGTTTTCAAATAAGTTTAACCAATATATATGGTGTTTTAAACTGTGTTAGTGTTTTATTTAAATGTGTACAACTCGCGGAAACTACAGACAGTATTTAAATCAAATTATACTTAAGGCTTCATTTATTTCGAGTCTCATTGAACCGATCACTAATCCTATTGACATCCCCACAGCTGGGACACACTTGCTTATCAAAATGTCGCATAGTTTTGACTCTGGCAAATAGGAAGTTCTCACGCCGTGATAACTAAAGATTAAATGAGCGTGTAAATTTAAAATAAATTGAAATATTAAAGCGACGAGGCGAGTTTTGAAAGAACAAAGCCGCGGCTGAAAGGAGAAACTGCGGAGTTAGCAACTCTGATCTCACTTTGATGCTGTACCTCAAGATACGATATTTTTACGTTCATCTTCTATCTAAGCTAAGCGCTACGTAAAATTATTTAACAAATATAGAATCTCAAAACTTGTCCCACGTGTAGGTTAGAACTAATTTAAATATTAGCTTGGTGGATGAAAACTTAGTGGTTCCTTACAATGTGGTTTTCACAGCCCCGGTTACTTTCCGGACAAAAATAACTTTTGAAGAAATTTATTGCTCACTTTTCTTGCTTTGTTGCTCGTGAATTCAAATTAAGAGAGCGTTCGCTTTTTACTTTAGTTAATGGTAAGAATACTTAAGTACTGTCTGTTTACGCGAGTTAACCACACTTATATGTTAAATAACGGTTTAAAACGCGAAATGTTTTTTAACGGCATGACGTAATAGACTAATTAGAATTAATGAATGTAAGTTCGCGTAATGTAAGGAGATATTACATGTACGTTTTAAGATCCAAATCGCTTCGAATGTAAACAAACTAGATGTCATGTCAACATATGACTTAGCCAAATAACGACACATTTGTCGAACATGATATCCAATTATCAGGAATACAATAATTATGCCATTAGGGCTGTTTGAGCAGCGAATATTAAGACGTTAGGCAACGCCGTACTCGACACATTAGAATTAATGGCCCTCCGCGCATGACCTGCGAGAAAAACGCCTGAATACAAACGGGTTAAGCTTTCACGATTTTTTAATTAAGAGAAGTAATTGGAAAGAGAAATATTACGTATGGACTAAAAAACAAGTATGTTTCTACTTTATTTAGAAAATACCTAACATCGGCGGGATGAAATTAACGACCAAGTGAGATTAGCTTTTACGCAAAGAACTAGCTGATATTAATAACTTTTCAATTTAATAATTCATTATTCTACTACTACCCACTAGATTATTCTAATTCAGTCCGATATTCAATATTTTTCTTAAATTTAACCTATAAAGAAGATTGTTGAATTTGATACTGTCGTTGGTCTTTTGGTGTTTTATTTCGCTTATTATTAATTAGCGAAACAAAATAAAATTGCTTTCGACGGTAGTTATATTTTTCTGGGGTAGTTGCGTTTTTTTGCGATACCGCGACGGCCGATCGAACGACGGTTGACAGCGGCCGCTGATGTACAGCGCGCGCTGTTAGTCACTTTTGAGGCCCAGCGCGCGAGGCGGTCTTGAGTCGACATTAAGAAATAACGCCCGCGTATAGGCGATGCCGTGACAGTTATTGTTGTGAAATAGTTTTTGCGAATGTAGTGCATTTTGAAGAGTAATTGTGTAATAATATCAGTATAATACGTCGTGACCAGACGTAAATACGTCCTAGAGAGCAGAGAATAGTACTTAGTAATATGCTAAATACCTTATAAATCTTTAGTTGAAAGTGTGTAGCGACTTTTATACTGTTTTCTTTCGTTGCGATGTAATTAGGGATTTTAGTTATCACTTCATTTCGGATATACACAAACATAGTGTTTTTTTGTGGTGCATTTTTGAGGTTTAAGGTTTTATAAATATATATTAGTAATCTTATACTAATATATATGTATTAAGTAAAATTAGTGACCTTTTATGACATTACCAAAATGTTTTACAATATAGTGATAGATAAAAAATTAACACATACAATTTATATCGACGCGGTCAAATATTATACAATTCGCCTTCCTTATAGAACTGATTATAGCATTTGATGGTAAATGTATTAATTTTAACGACAAAGAACACAAATTAAATTAATTTCAGTTACTAACTATTATATTAAATGTAAAGTAATGTTTCATTGTACACATTAAACATTTCGGTTAGATGGGTCCTTTCTTCATTTATCTTCGTGATATTACTTATGTAGTAATCGGTCGTACGATCTCGTTTAAAGCTGAGTGTTAACAAATCATAGCAAGAGGGAACTCGCTACAAACTTCGTAGCACCACTCCTATCTATAAGGATGCTTATCTAAGTGTTACAACTTTGCGAGAGAATATTAGCCGAAGAGTCAAAATAACAGTTCCGGTAGTATAAGTATGAGTAAGGGAAGTATTTTTTAGAAAATAACTAGGCGCTTGCTATTCGTCGCTAGGCAATGTTAACTCAGTGTCTCACACAATATATTGATGTAAGTAAAATCTAGTATGCTCTAGAATTGTATATTATATAAGTAACTTGCCTGGGTTCTTAATAAAGCTAAACCCCCCCAAACCGCTATGTCCCTGCGTTTAAATATGTAGTATGTTCAAAAATATTTCTTTAAATTACATTTATTTAATTGGATAAGGATTAAGGTTGCATTACTTAAAATCATTATAATATTTTTCCAATATCCTCAACACATCACGGACTTTTTTGTTATCCCTTTTTAAGGTTTATAATTCTGTAGTACATTATTTTTATTATTTCAATGGGATTCAGCCAGAGTTTGCAATTTAATATGTTAATTTATGATATCACATTAGAAAACATCTTAACTCATGTGTTAAACTGTATAAGGAGATTTCTATAAGTTTCTACTGCAAAATCAATAGTTGTTGCATTTTGCTGAATGTTTTCTTTATAACTATGTAAACATACACATTTTACAATAACTATATTAAAACAATTACCTGAAACGAAGAAACAAATTGTTATTTCGGCGAACTCTGTTATGTTAAATCGACCTGATGTACTCTAAATCACTACATTTTAAGTTTTACGCGCTAAAATCTTTTTTCCATTTTGACGTTTCGTCAGGGATACGTCAAATCTTGGGAGTCGCGGGAGATTTCGATTTCCTGACACATATAAATCTTCTTGCTATCAATAAAAAAACGATGCAAAATCTATTGCGCAGTTTTTAAAATTTAAGCATACATAGGGGACGGACTCAGCGACAACGATTTTCTTCTATACTAGGTATGTAGTGATTTGGCATTTGCTTAGCTTTATACTCTAATATCTAGACAATCGAAAGATAAAAATGTGTTTGCCTGCCTAATCGGTGTGCAAACCTTGGTCTAGGGTTGTTTGTATCACTCAAATAACAAGACTCTCTTGAATGTTTGAATAAATGCAAGAACGAACGAGGTTTTCTACGTTTTCTCGTGATAAATTTAGCCTCAAGTCTACACTGGACGTCATAATTTATGCCCCTTCAACTATTCAGATTATAGCTAAGAGGACTTAAGAAGAACGAATGAAATAAACCTCTTTCTTAACAATAAACTTGCGAATTTGAGTTTACGTCTTAGCCTTCACCTCAATAATACAGCACTTGAGACCGCTCGAATAACAATTACTTTTCTAATACCAGAACAATCACTTAAGCTACAACAAAATTTGATATTTTATTATACAAAGAAGTAGCCAATTGTACATTTTAAACAAGATTTGATTAATATTTTCAGAAATAAATAATACCATAGCATGTATATTTTGAACAAAATTATTCAATTTAAAAATCGAAAATAAATTTAAAAAAATTTCCCCCCGGCCGGGCAAAAACCCCCCCCCCCCCCCCCCCCCCCGGGGGCCCCCCCCCCAAAAACCCCCCCCCCCCCCCCCCCCCCCCCCCATTTTTTTTTTTTTTTTTTTCCCCCCCCCCCCCCCCCCCCCAAATTTTTTTTTTTTTTTTTTTTTTTTTTTTTTTTTTTTTTTTTTTTTTTAATCCCCCCCCCCAAAAAAAAAAAAAAAAAAAAATTTTTTAACAAAATTATTCAATTCATTGCGTGCATTTTACTACGTTCATGTAAATTGCCACTACGGTTAAGTGGTCAAAGACTTTTGAAATATCAATGCGAATTTAGGTGTAATATTGCTTAAGATACCACACGACCATGTTACTATTGTGCAGTAGGTATAGGTAGTATAATATGTAGGAAGCATGCCACACGATAAATCAATCAAGGCGATATGGGGCAAATGAAACACATAGCTGCTTCTTCTACATTAATTATTAGTCTTAGCGTATACACATCAACTACTCGCCTTCACATTATTTAATTAACGTACGGGTTAAATTAAGATTTAAGCTTTAGAGTTGCTTAAAGGCGTCACAGAGCACCTGTGGGCTGCGATCGCTCGTTAATCGGAGTGCGTCTACATCGTCGGTACGATTAATTAAAACTGCGACTCACTTGGCATGTCTAGATCGCTGATGAACTCCTCCGTGTCCACGAAGCCTCGGCCCGCGGTCGTCATGGCGACCAGCAGCATCAAGACCTGCATGCGTCCCGCCCCCGGTGTTCCCCGTCGCTCACTAAACGGCTCCATAAATAAAACACTATCTAAGTTAAACCTATCCGTCCATCTTCGACGTCGAAATGTTTACGTCATTTCGACGTCTCCAAACGCCCGGTTTAAAATTAGAAAATGAACGACACTCGTGCGTAAACAATCGGCGGGAGACGACACGTGCGCCCGTCGACGCCGCTCGCGAGAGACTGATCGGAAAGTTGAAAAGCGTGGCCGCGGAAGATCAACTTCCTATTACGAATCGTAGATGAAGTTTAAACTAGTGCTGGAACAAACGAGTGTATCTATCCGGTTACCGAGATCGGAATGGACGCTCCACGCCGCGGAAGCGACGCGAAATATCGCTAGGTAAGATCTTCCAGCCACGCAGGATACAGGCGAATACGAAAACAAAACCGCATTTAAATTATATCCGAAACGACTACTGTGCGTCACCTTTTAGTTAGGAGCAAAACTCGCAAACTTTGCCAAAAGGCCGTTACTCTTTTGTATGGGATGTGTTATTCTGCTTCGCTGGGTTTTAAAGCTAAGTTTAAAGGTTCGACATAGAGTTGTTTCTGGATGTTGAAGCGTTTCATCGCTGAAGATAAAACCTTCACCATTATTTATGTTCTACATTAACATTAACATTTTACTTTTGTGTAATAAACAGTCAAGCCATAGAACATACCTATTTTGACTTCGGTTATTGAGAAATCTAGACACAGACAATTGAAACGTCATTAAGCTTCACTGTATTTTCGTCTGGTCACCGTGAATGGTGGTTCGTGACACGAACGGAATTCCGTAAAATGAAAATGGAGATGGAAAATGGTTAATTCTCCACTATTAGACAAACGAGGCTGTCAAAAGTAAAACTATTAATTTACTTTTACCTATTTTTATTTCAGTTTTTATACCATATCTAATAAACGTCATCAAGTAAGTCTAATTTGAAATAACATAAGTTATAAATTTACGTCTTACATGCTTATATACATTAAATGTGCGGTAGGAATATAAAAAATCCGGCAAAAATCAGGGTCTCGGAAGCACTATCCACAGTTAACAACTACAATCCAGTCTCGTTGGCAATCTGTAGATTTCCGAATATCCAAAGCCAAAATAGGTCGACACCTATCTTGTTGATATGTTATGGCAGAGATGCTTCACTTACCAACATTTTTATGTGATAATATAACTTCACCAAATTAAAACCCGACATAGCATCGTAAATATCCAGTAAGTAGCTTCGTAGTTCGACTCGGAACGACCGTGAAAATTGTTTTACGCGAAATTAATTAATTTTAATTTGATTTAATATGATTCATGTCAGAAGTATACCTGTTAACGTGGCGAATGTTTCACACGAGGAACGTCGAATAAAAGAACATCGAAGGCTTTTCAAATTAGTATACGCCTATCTCCAGTCTTCATTTAATTCTCAGGCAATTTACGCGTTTGTGCTCGATTTATCGTTGCTAACGCGAATAACGCTAAGTTTATTCGCCTAATTAATTCTACTTAAAGTAATTCCTTCCAGTGCTTATCACACATAAGGAATCTAGAAGGACTAAAGGTGTTAAAAAATATATTTGACTGTGTCGTAGGTAAACGTCCGGTAAGGTTTCGCAATGTCACTTATTTGCTCTTCTTTCATATCAAAAGTAATTTTACGAGGTTACAAGTTAACTGACGGTGATCGATCATCTCTCGATCGATTCTTATCGAAACGACCAAAATGTCCACCTTTAGCCAAAACGTATTAAGGAAAAATATGAAATAATATCGTTCGTTCAATACTATTGTTATAATAAGTTATTCGATTGAAGTAATGTTGAATAATTCAAATGGTCGAGATCGCTTCGCAAAAACAGGTCAAGCGTGACCCTCATTCCCATGCAGGAACTACAGGCGGCGTCGCGTCGGACATTATTCAAAAACTCCGCGAAATATACGTATCACTTCCATAAAACGGCTTCTTTCCATCTTACCAATTTCTGCCGCTTGAACCGTAACGCAAATTGATCCATTGCTCCTCGGAGGGCGCTGCGCCTGCTACCGCTGCACCAGCGAATTAATTCTCCCGTCACAAGTGACGCAAACGCTATGTATTAATATTATATGATAGAGAAATACTCCTTACGGCACTTTGGGGGCACATATGAGTTAATTTTAACAAACTCAAGCTACGGCGTCAATCGATTACTGCCTTTAATCGGAGAAAAATCTTCTTATCTATTCGTCTTATCTATTCCTTTTACTGTGGCGTACTATTGCAATGATTTCGCTCTAGATTTAATATATGTCTTTTAGAATGCCGGTTCGGTAATTCAGACACCGCGGGCGAAACGGCGAGACAAACCCGTCCTATAGGCGAGACATCGTTTGCCGTTTTAGCACATTACAGTGGGATCCATATTTCTATAAAGCAACAATTGCCAAACAACAGCGACTATTAACAAAAGTAAATAGCAATCAATCAAACGTGGATCGGATTGAAATAAAAATGTCGATGATTTATCGCGAAACTGGACTCATATAACACGCCTGAAATTATTTACGTAAAGCTATTTAATGTCGGCGGAAAATCTCGTTGATAAAAATATTGTATGCGCCATTTTTAACTTTGAATATTTTATTTAAAGGTTGTTTAATAGGATGTAGGTCAGGGTTTACAAAAATCGACGCATTATAAGCTCTAACCTTCCTCGGGCTCGCTGCAAATTGCGGAAGACATTCCGGTGGGGACGACGCTTCACAATAAACTATTTATTATAATTTAAACTGCCATTTGACCTTTTGAAATCTAACATCCTGCTAGTCTGTATTTACACAAAGCGGGAAGCCGCGGCCTAACGCGGATTTTAATTGTTCTGAAACTCTATTGCTATTTGATCTGGATCTCTTCAAATGCGATTTAAAAATTCATTAAACCAGATCAAATTTACTGCAAAAATGTTTCATAACACCTTTACTTTTGCATATGTCCCTGGTTTGCAAAAAACTCAGAACAACGGTTGGTCTAATGAGAGCAATGTATGAAATTTTTTTATTTCTTTCAATAGACTTACAGGAAAACATTCATATTATAAACAAAGTAATGTTCATTCGTTTATCATTAACTTAGCTTAAAAACCTATTTACAAATTGAGTACTTTGATGGCGCCTGAAGTAGCTGTAAAGCTGTGGCACAGGAGCCAGCGCCCACCTCCGTATGATTAGAAAAGTTAAACTAATTACTATTGATATTTTTCTAAATTACTATTTGATACAATTATGGGAAATAAACATTCCGTGTAGGTCAATCATGGGTGAAAAGACGTGAAGTTTCATTCACGTTTCGTTTTCAGTCTGTAGATTTCCGAGTATCCGAAGCAAAAACAGGTCGAAAACGCATTTTGCTTAGATGTTATGCAGAATACTCAAAACCTTTTACAGCTAATATAAATTGGAACATTCTATCCAAATACCACAAAATTTAAATGTTATTTAGAATTTCCCCTTTTCTCGAAATAGCCTTTTGTTACTTCTCGTGAAATCGTGGATAGTTTGAAGGAACAAATGGACGATAGCACAGTAGTTTCCGCGAAAAACATCGTGAGATGAAAAGCGCCGCCCATTCGCGTATAACAATGTAAAGTCCTGAGCGTACGTTGGCCGGTAATGACGTCGCATAAATTCGTTGCAACTACACACGGCTAAACTAATTTGCAGATCCTACTTCGTGCGAGAGCGCTTCCTTTTGTTGCGTCTTATAATGCACTCGCTTCGTATTTTTGTGTTTACGCGGACTAAACTTAGCTTGAAATTTATTATCAGTCGTAGGTTTTTATTTTATCATTTTATTGATTAAAAGAAAAAAATAAAAAAAGCTAATTTCCTACCCACTTCATCCACACGCTTGGTTTACTTATGCGTCCCTCTATGCAGTCATGTTTCTGTATCTGCGTTTTAGTTAACCAAAGATGAGCCAAGTAAATGTACTAGCTATATGCCCGTTGACACTAAAGCGGTAACTTCAAAAATATCGGTGAATAAACAAGAACACGTGCTCTGAATGTCCCGTGCATCGATAAATAGTTCGAAACTTTTGAACGATGAAACGTCCGAGTTTTGCAAATTGATTAGTATTCGGAATTTCAATCGCTCATCGTTCGCTTTTCTTTGTAAACTAAATCGAGGAGCGTAAATTTTGTATGATAAATACCTTCCTTTACCTCACAACAACAATTTCAAATATTTTTTGTTGATTCAGAGTGAATTTATGTTCTATTTACTATTAAAATTGCAGTTTTATATTCGAAACGTGAGACATCAAACACATTCCACCTACCTTTGTTGAAAACTCACGAGGCCGTTTGTCACTTGTTTGATCTACTTTCTTGCGAGCCATAACAAATCCACGACTGAGATACATACAGTAGCAACTAGGTTAACTAATTCTATGTAAATCATACAAAACATAATTAATCTTTTCGCAGTCAGTAACCGCGAAACACGAATACATCAACAGAAATATTACCCCGACGCCCATATGACGAGTCATTCGCGTAAATTGTGATCGCGATCATTATGCACACCACGAGTTCATTACGATGACGGATGACGCCACGCCACTGTCTTGTCGCGACAATTCAGCTTCACGCTCGTTCAAACCATTCGCTAACGTGGTGTACGTTCTTTTACAAATGTTACAGATTACCGGTCTTTACATAAGGTAATATAATATGTCACTTGTAAATTCTCGTTTCCGCAAAGTAAGAACGCGGACACGTCGTCGCGTTTGCTACAGTAATTTATTTTATAACATATTTGCTCGTGAAGTGGTACATCCACTTTCGATCGTTTAACTAAGTTTTATTAATTTTCTCGTAAATATGTTATAAAACGTCGTATGACATACGTGCGCTTTGAAAATTACAGCCTCTGCTTTCTTATAGTAATATCGCCTCGGCTGTATTTTTCAACTTACCGCACTTATATCATAATGTACTATTCCATACCTGCAGGTGAGTGATACAAATAATCGGACTTCA